GGGGCGCGGGAGACCCGCGCGGTGGCCGGACGCTGCCCGCCGGCGGCCCAGACCCGCGGGAGCGCTGAACATGCCCTGTCGGGAGGGCACCGGGGCGCCCGGTGTTCGTGAGAAATCGCCGCTCAAATCGCGGAGAGCGGAGCTGGCGTCCCAGTGGGGACCCGCGAGAAACTGAGAGGCGGCCCCACCCCCGGGCTCCTTATTACGGAGGGTCGCGATGACTCACAAAGCCACCTGGACGGCGCGATTGTGGCGGCGGGAGGGAGTGGCCGGCGTTAATCCTGGGCCCGCCCTTTAGCCCCCGTGACGTCCGGGAGGGTTAGCCCTGGAAGGTCGCTGTGTTTAGCCCAGAGTCCCAACCAAAGTGGGGATTGTATCCTGCACTACACGTCCCCAGCACCTCCCTCACCCCTGCCTCTCAGCACCGTGGTCTGGCTGGAATTTCTGCTTTAGACCAAGGTTCTAAGACCTGTGTCAGAAGTGCGTTGTTCCCCTGGACCCGAAGAGAGACTGGGCTTGTTTCTCAGTAGCCTTTGGTTTCCTCATTTAACCTCCTGTAAATTCTCCAAACCACTGTTGTTGCTCTTACATGTGGCTGAATTTAAAATCTCTTGGCCAACACCAGCCCACTCCCCACATGTATCACCCCCCCCCCCAACTTCCCAGTTTGAAAGTTTCTTCACTGAATACAGGACTTGCTTGGTGTGCTCTAAGTTGGTCATGGCATTTTCTGAATAAATAAGCAATCTTCTCAGCTCTTGACCAGCCCGGCTATCCAAAGCTGATTCCTCTATCACCAAATCATTCACAGACACAATACAGCCTGGCTGTGGGCTGATCCCAGCCACCTAACCCATTGTGGGACAGAGGGAAAGACGGGTCTGGCAACTTGGTGGGGCCTGAAGCAGAGGGGACTGGTGTCCAAACAGTACTAATAATGACTTTTGGGAAAGCTAGTATTTTCTAGGAAGCCTGAGGGTGAAAGGAAACATTGTCCTTGGGATCTCAAGTGACAATAGGTTTCAGCACATTTAAGAAGTGACAGTCTAATTGATCACAACCTGGCAGGGGAAGTGACTTAGAAACATTATTACCAAGGCACATATCAACCTTTCAAAATGGCTTGGAAACCAGATCTAACAGGTGTAGGCGAGTGGGCAAGGCTGATTTCAAGAGCCTGGAGGCCCACTGTTAGTCTCCCTTTTCCTCCTTAGAGAATCCATGTCAGCAAGGATTGCAGGCAGGAAGAGCACTAATGTCAATGTCTGTATTTATATGGAATGGTGGGATTGTGACAAGGCTTCTTTGCATCTATTATTGCTTTGTATGTATCACTTTTGTTGCAGTTATTTTGAAAGGGTTCCATTTGATTTTGTGTGATGTAAGGCCCCTTAATAATATGTCTCTTACTTGCTCTGTGCCTCTGTTTCTTTATTTGTACAGTGGGAATATCATTAATTGTGCCTAACACATAGGTGTGCCGGGGAGATCTCATATCCATCTCTCTCTCATTTTCTGACTTTCATGCATTCCAACAGCTGGCAATGAACAGTAATAGTTTTTAAACTAGTAACAGACACAATAAACGTGTACTTTAAAACAATTTAATTCAGCTTTC